TTCCTTGAGGAACAGAAGACCTTGTATATAAGTCTGGCGGTGATACTGGAACTTGATTACTTGACTAGGCTGAAACGGTCAAGTACATTAGTATGCATGCTTTCAGATAGGACTGTCTTGACCGGGGAGAAGATGTTAGAGTTCATCGAATCGTCTGGGAACGTTGAGATATTCGAGGAGGTAAGCGCCGAGGAAGTTGTAGCGTATACTACCCTTAGGAAGGCTGAGGAGATGCCGGGCGCTGCTGCAACAGATTGTTTTGATGCGGCAATCGCAGAGTTTGCCATGAGGAAAAGTTCAGGCTGATCACTAGTGACATAAACTTACAATTGTACCCCAAGCTAATGACGGGGTGGTAGCTTCGCAAGTTGAGGGACTTATCTAGATCACATACTCAGATTTACGACAATCCATCATCAGAGTTTGCTTGCTTAGCGGTTATTGATCATGCTCGTTGGGGCATGTGCAACTTAATGGCCCGGCACTGAATTTCATGTAATGATTGTCTTGTATGTGTAGTAGATATGCAAGTGCAACGCTTATCGAAGTGCCTCTTTGGTAAAGAGCTATTGCAAGCATGCAAGCTACATGGGTCTATAATCTCCACGCAGTCTGACAATTTAGTACATAGAAAGCTACTCGCAAAGCGTCCTCGGCCCATGCTTTAACCACATGATGCGCCACGTCGCTCGCACGGAGAATGCATCTTCGCTTTCTTTGGCAGGGTGCCATTCTCAAATTGAGTTCTGATACTATACCCACATAGTGACGTTCAAGGATCAATACAATCGGTCACCTGTCAGACCGCCCACTGCACACACCGACGATGGATAGGAAACTCAGCGGGCACGCCAGGCCATCGCTGACTCATGTCCATTCACGTTGTTCAGCTGACGAAATTGTGAGAAAGAGATATGCCATCATCGCATACATGGTCAACTGCAATGCCCACAATCGGGCAGATCACCCAGCCAAGCATCAAGAAAGTCGTTTTCTGATGTGAGGCCCTTGTTCGGTCAGCAGATTCGCTGATCGACCCCTCTTCTTCTTCAGTCTTGAAGTCTCTCTGCTTTTTCCTTTGGACCGCCCTCGTTTAGAAGAAGCCTTCGACTTGGGATCCTCCGACCTACCCTCTTGCTTGCTTCTCTTTTCAAGCCTAGCAGGAGCTACGTCCTCCTCACATCTCTCTTCTTCTACCTCGCTGCCAAATCTGTGCCAGCCCCCCTCTTCATCATCGCTCTCAACTTCCTGTTTCCGCTTTCTATTCGAAGTTGAGGCTCGCGCTTATCGCCTCTCGTCATCTAGCCCTAACGCGTCTGCCTCTTCTTCAATCATGCTAACACTTTTGCTATCCTTGTCTGTCTTCTCCTTTATTGTGCCTTTCGTCTTTGAACTTTGCCTAAGACGTGCAGCAGCTTGCTCGTTGTCGCTCTCACGGCTACCTGACGCTTCCTTCCCGTCAACTCCTCTCGATAGACGGTTGGAAACGTCCGCAGGCTCTTCATCTTCCTCCTCAGCAGGGCCAGCTGCTTCAGGCTGCGGACGGAGAAGCCACAACTTCAGTACAGATAATGGCGAGAGAATGTACCATCTTCAGATCTGAGCTGCTTAATTGCTTGGCTTATTATTGAAAGTGATGGGATGAACTAATGGAAAGCGACCAGACATGCTGTCTGAGTGTGCTCTGCACACGAGAGAGCTGATACAGCCTTCTTCTTGGGAAATCATTGGCACACAGCGAATGCAGAGATTAGCACAATCAACCGCGAAACTAAAGCTCACAAGCACTGCCTTCACACAAAGTGGAGTGAAGCAAACATAGATCTCAAGGTAGCCAACTTCAAAGCGGACTCACAGGATCCAAACAGACAAACAGTTGTGACAATGAGGAAAGAAAGAAACAGAAATTTCGAGCTCACTTGTCAAAAAGGATCGGTGTCGAAGGCACACGCAACCATCTGCTGCTTCAGGAAGACCTTGGCAAGCAGCTTGCGGGTGTGGATGCTGTGCAGCTGCAGGAAGCGGTCCAGACCAACTGATGCGAGAAGGGGCTTGGAGGGGTCGAGAGCGATTGAGCGCACGCTGCTGCTGATGCTACCTACGAACCCGCCTGACTTCTTGCCTGTGAAAGAATGGGAGCATATGTATGAAGATATGTGAGAGCATTCTCTTGAAGAAGAGGGCTGTCCTTCTCTCCTCCACGATGTCAGAGACCTGGAGGAATCTTTGGACCTATATGATGAGGAGGACCTATATGACGTTTAGGAAGGGGCACTCACTTCTGCATGCGCGCCGGCAGGAGTAGCATGCTCTCCTTGAGGCAGAAGCTCTTTGGGGAGGGCAGGCTCGCATGACTTTGGCTCGTGGCGCATAGCCTGCAAACACAAGACGGCAGCATGAGAAGTGACTTAGCCGATCTCTCTCGCGCCAACTCGCAAAGGAGGCTGCATAGTTGCGCTCAACACTACCTTGGTCGGGGGTCGGTGCCAAAGAAACCTCCTGCAGGGAATGCTGCTCCAAATGAATGAACGGCTTAAAGCTCTGCCGCTATGATCGACATGACGTGGATTGGCAGCATGCCTGCAGCTGAGCAACATTATTTTGTACCAAGGTTCTCCAATTGTACTTTGAAAGAGAACAGGCTTTTCTTGGTATCGAGCAAGGACCCCTGGAAGCATGTGATGATGCAGGTACCAGGGCTCTGCAATATTTACTTCCAAAAAAACAGGCTTTTCTTGGTACCGCGCAAAGGACCCTAAAAGCCTGTAGTCGATGGCGCATGTACCAAGATTCTGCGATTCTACTCTAGAAGAGAACATGCCTTTCTTGGTACCCCGGAAGGAAGCCACCCCAAGACCCTAAAAGCCTGTAGTTGATGATGCATGTACCAAGATTCTGCAATTTTACTCTAGAAGAGAACAGGCTTTTTTTGGTACCGAGCAAGGGACCCTGGAAGCCTGTAGTTGATGGCGCATGTACCAGGATTGTGCGGTTTTACTTTTAAAGAGAACAGACCTTTCTTGGTACAGCGCAAGCCCCCCCTGAAAAAAGCTTGTATTGATGGCGCTTGTATTGATGGCGCATGTACCAAGATTCTGCAGTTTTACTTTAAGAAAGAACAGGCTTATCTTGGTACAGTGGGAGAGCTGTATACAACCTCGTGTGCTGTGCCCCACGTGTTCTGATCTGACTTTGGAATCCATTGCCATTCCATTTCGGCCGAGCGGATGCACGTCGCAACGAACCTGGCTTTGGATGCTCGAAGGCACCCCATCATGCTTCACATCCATGACCAGCCGCTGCCCCACTCCCCTGCCCTCCGTGAAAGCCGCTGCCTGCACAAATCGAAGCCAGACGTCCTTGCATACTCCTGGCGACTGCCCGCTTCTCGAAATTGCTATACTAATCACAGCGGAATTGGTCGTGTAGGGCAATTGCTAAGTCAGACAAAAAGGGCATGAGCCCTTACTTTTCAAGTCCATATGTGGTCTGCGCCTGCTTATCCTGCTGCGCTATCTGACCAATGTCAGCTCTTAAGTGCAAGTCAATTGCATGCCTCAGAAGCTAGAAGATGCTGCAGCGCTGAGGAGTCAAGCACATGGACGCTTTCCAAGGGGCTGATCAAGGAACCACAGCCCACAAAACTCTCAGTTGCTATTCAACCTAAGCACCTCCTGCAGTACCTTGCTGTTGCACTATGCTATGAGATGTGCAGTAGGTGTGCAAAAAACCCAGCGAAAGGAAGGATTCTTGCCTCGTTGATCAGCGCAGCGCCCATGCTGCTCTTTTGCAGTTGCTAATTGGTCAGCATGAAGGGTCGAAGCCGACGTCTGGAGAGAAGCACAGCAGCTCACATAGTCCTGGCGCAGCATGTGTTTGCTCCGCTGCAGCTGGTCACAACTGCCAGGTCCTCTTGCCAATGCTGCCTGAAGATCACAGGCAGCGGTCACCACGTGCTGGCAGTTCAGGATGCGCTCACTGCGCTGAGCACAGCCCCCCCCGCCATTGATTAACGCCAACTAGAAGACAACCACTCTTGGCACAAGTCTGTTCATGAGGCCATCCAGCTCCGGCTATCCATCATGTTTTCTTGCGCAGGCCTGCAGGCCTGTGCATGGAAACAGGGATCGACCTGATGGACCTTAAGGTCAACTAACCGTACGGTACTGAGTGGCGGCACAGAGGCGCAATTAGGACATTCTTTCCGACTCCAAAAGTGTGAATACGTGCGTGGATCATCGCGACCGTCGATACGTTAACACGCAATGTCCGGGCACTAATCCCCGGGCACACAATACTAATACCAAAAGCAACTGGGTCGAACCCTAATATATCTACCGGTTGCCTTCAACCCTAACACTTCCTCACCGGTTGCCTTCAACCCCAAAATACTCACCGGTCGTGGCGAACCCTAACACTTCCTCACCGGGCGCCTTCATTCACCGAGCGCCGTCGCACCAAGGAAAGTCCCAGTCACACTTTCGGAGTCGGAAAGAATGTCCATTTTTCCACAGTGACACCCGGCGCCGCCCGCGCATCCTGATCACATGATGCAATCGACAGTCTTGCACGTGTCAGCCAATGATTGTCAGGGTGACTCAAGACTCACCCTGAGCGGAGCAAGCTTTGCGCTCAGCTAAAATGAAAGTCAGAGCTGGCAACTAGGAATCTCAAATACTGGCCTGCAGCCTGCCTGAGTGGGAACGGCTCGATAGAGTACGGTAACGGCTGGATCGAGAAGTGCTGGTCCCTTATGGCGCATAGGCTATGCCGGAAGGGCCCTGGTCGGGGTGCCCGGTAGACCGGCCGGGCTGGGTTGGGTGGAAATGCAAGGTCGCGCTCGATCCTGCGCCACTGGTAGTCGCGGGCGCGAGAAACTGGGGTTTGAAAGCGACGGATCGAAAAAAAATGGAAGTTT